GCAAGGTGGTTCTGCCGCCTGCCTCACAAGTGCAAGGACCCGAGTTCGATCCCTAGTATCAAAAAAAAAAAAAAAGTAGGAGAAAGTTGTTGAAATACAAAGTCACAATCTTATAACCCCTGATGAAAGGGCTGACTGTAGCAAAGATCATTATCAGGGGTACTATTATTGAGTAGCTCCGTTATGGACACTGGGTTGCTCGCCTCTCCCTCTGGAGTTAGGTTCCAGTTTCTTCAAGTCTCAAACATAAAATTGAACAAAACGAGCAAAAAGCAGTTTATTTGAGAAAGTAAAAGTGAAGCATAAGGGAGAAACTGGCTCTGCAGAGCAAGCATCGGCCAAGTAAAAAGAGAAAAAGCAATAAAAGGACACCCTGGAGAAAACAGGGTGGGTTACCACGAAGAAAATCACAATAGCCTTTATTGTTATTTATTTCTTTCGTACCGCTGGAGTACTCCATGGCTTCTGGTGTGCTAGGCAAGTGCTCTACCACTGAACCAAACTCCTAGCCTTGTACTGATTTTAAAAATTAATTTGGGGAAGAACTGTTATCTTTATTTTGTAGAGGGTCTGCCATTCTATTGTGGGACCCTAACCGCTATGTAACCCCTAGTTCGCCAGCATATAGCCGTACACATTTCTTTCTACCCAGCTCCAAGATAAGATTAAAACAGAGTGCATGGAAGCCTGGTACAGGCAAACAAGATAGCGACTCAAGGCCTCGTTAGAACAGAACAGCCTGAGGTCTGGAGATGAAAGACCAGGTGCGCCGTATAGCTGACTCCTTTCGATAGATAGCAGAAAACCGACCCCCTGACCCCTGGCACACTTGCTGTGCTTGCAGTCCTCTTCCCTTGCCTTTAAAAAACTGCTAACCCCTGTGCTGGGCCTCTCTGAGCTGTTCAGTTCTGAGAGTGCCGTCTGGCCAGACTAATAAAGGTCTATTTACCAACGAGCCTGGTGTGTTCCTTCCTGGGTGAGTCTCGCTGCTCATCGAGCTCCCGGAGCCTCACTGAGCTATAGGTCCCGGCATCTTGGAGGCCCTTTGGGCTGTTCAAGGCTCCCGGAAATAAGGCATCCGGAGCCATCGTTGGGCTATAGGACTCAGCATCATGAAGGCCCTTTCGGCTGATCACGCTCCTCGGAGTGGAAGTGAGACTTTAGGTCTTACACTACGAGATTATGCTTATGCAGGAATGTGTGCGTTTAATAAACTCGGATAATAAGTGTCTCAATACCAGAAAATGCAAGCCCAGTGTTTCTGGAGGTCCGGCCATGGTGGGATTTGGGGCGTTGGGAAGGAGGGAGGAAAAGTTGTAGATCCCAGTGTTTTGCCTGCTATGTGCACCCGAAGTATGCATGGGATCTGTGCTGTGTGCTTGCTGCTTGCATGTGTCTGGGACACAGGAAATGTTGAGTCAGTGAACAAATAAGTGAATCAGTTACTTTTTTAGAGAGCTACTTGTATGTCAACCAACTTGCTAGTACTTTTCATAGTTTATCTCTAACCCTCATTATCAGACAGGTAGTATGACACCCCCCACCTTGCCAGGCCAGGAAACCAGCGGCTGGGAAGAGGAGAGGACCTTTATTATATTCCAATTCGGTTCCTTATGATTCCAAAAGTCATTTACCAAAGGAAGAGATCTAATTTCCATCTGTCCATTCATTCATCTGTCAAGGATCTATTTAGCATATATTAAGTTAACAAAAGTACCAGAGTACAACTTTAACTGACATACAGTGATGGCAAACCTTTTAGAGACCGAGTGCCTAAACTGCAACCCCAAACCCACTTATTTATCGCAAAGTGCCAATAAAACATGAATACTGAGATTTTAATTTAGAAAAAACAACACTTGGCTCGCCTGCCCGCTGCTGCACGAGTGCCAAAGGTTCGCCACCTCTGAGTTGAACCCTCCCAGGAAGACCAGCTGGGTGGCTGGATTGAGGATACTGAAGGGGCAGAGGATATGGCCGAGATCTCTAGGAAACATAGATGCTCCTTTCTCGTAGTTGTGGGTTTGGATGAGGATGGACGGCTAGATCCAGGTTTTTTTAGACAAATTCTGTCTCCGGCGCAGGTGTTACAACCATAGTCCGAGAGGGGGCGCGGTTTCGCAGCTAAAAGCTTGGCCTGAGAACCTCTGAGTGCCGATTGGCCATCGGTGCGCAGGCGCAGAAGACCCAGGGAGCGGCTTAATATTATTTTGGGGAGAATAATTTGCGAAGAGAAGGCGTGGCTCAGGGAGCGACGCAAACGTGGAGGTGTGACTCAACCAAATTACCCGTTGCTTATTTGCCTCTGCCACTGAGGGTGTGGCCTAGGTGCCCACTTCTTTGAATGAGGAGGGGGTGTTCAACTAGTGTTCCCGCGATTGGAAGAAGAGATTTAGGGCGGATCTTCAAATCTCCCTCCAGCGATTGGCTGTCTCGTTTGGGAGGCGTGGCTCTGTAAATCGTCCATCCCCCGTGTGGTCACTTCCTGTGGAGTTTCCCCAACCCAGGGAGGAGGGAGAAGAGGACGAGGGAGAGGAGGGCGGTCGTCCGGGGTTAGGTGTGGGGGGGGTGTCGGTCCGTTCAGGGCGGGGGATGACTCACAGCCCATCCCATCTCCCAGACGCCGCCTGCTCGCCCGCGCGGAGCTAGCTCCATGGCTTAGCTGAGGAGGGGGCGGTGGCGAGCGGGGGGAGGGGTACTCTTATTTTTGTTAGGGGGACCGGGCCGAGGCCCGACCGGCCTGGCAGGGCTCGCCCGGGGTCGGGCGTCATGTCTCATGAAGCCGAGCCAGCTCGGGAAGGCGTAGAGGCCAGCGCGGAGGGCCCTCGAGCTGTGTTCGTGCTGTTGGAGGAGCGCAGGTCCGCCGATTCAGCCCAGCTGCTCAGGTGCGGGGCGCTTGGGGCTGGGAATAACACCTGGGGTTCTCGGGGCCTCATGTGGGGGTATCTGGGGCCCCGGACTGGGATTGGAGTCCCTTTGGCCTAGGTTTGGAAGACGTTGGGTGCCTGTCTTGGGCAGGGGGAGCAACTAAGGAATCCGGTGATGGCCTGCTTGGACTGACTGAGGCATAAGGGAGTCGTGGGAGTGCATTAAAGGGGGGCATGGTCAGATTTGGAGGTCCAGACCAGTTCTAGAAGGGGCAGATTCTGGAGTATCCAGAAACTGGTCCAAGGAGGTCGCTGAATTTGGGGTCCTTAATTCGTGCACGAGAGGAGTGAGTTTAAGGGGCACTGCCAGGTGAGACACTTAATTTTAATGAAATTCCAGGGTCCTAGGGGGTAGGTGCCGTTTGGGGAGCTCAGTGACTCCAGGCGGTGGTTGCTGTGTTTGGGGACCTCATGAATCTGGAGGGATTCAGGGGCATCTCAGATTGGCCCGGTAGGATCAGCCTTCTGAGTGTGTGTAAATGAGCAAGAGAGGCAAAGTTCAACAAGACTTGGCTGGAATAATCTCACCCGCCCCTCCCCCAGGGGCACAATCCCAGCCTTCCCACACCTGCAGGGGCTTCTGTGGGAGAGCGCTGGAGGGTAGGCAGAGGGGATGGTGCGCCTGTCGCCTCTCTGTTCAGGAAAGGCCTCAGACCTTATTTGGGAAGCCAGAGGAGGGTCTTGTTTCCACTGCCACTCAGCCTCTCTACCATACCAGCCTTCCTCGCCCCCTCCCCACCCTCTTCCACCATCCCTGCCTGGGTGGGTTCTCTCTGGCTTCTCACCCTCACTTCTGTCAGCCCACTCTGGAGCTCCAGCCCTCCCTGTCCATGCCCCTGTCCGCCACAGTGTCCCTCACTTCCACCTTGTGCAATAGATGTGGTAGCCTGGGCAGGGGCTTTGCCCGCTTTCTGCCTGGGATTGTGCTGAGCTCAGCAGCTCCCCCAAGCTTCCTCTTCCCAACTTCCTGGGTAGTTTTAGGGCCGGGTCTGAGGGTGGGGAGAGGAAGGAAGACAGTTCCTTGGGGAGAGGAGAGGGCTCTCGTCAAGAGAAGTCACCCATAATTTCTCAGGATTCTAACTCTTTAAAGTCAAAGGTGTATATTCAACCATGTGCAAGTGTTCCCTGGCCACTAGGTCCTTGGACCCCGCATGAGGGAGAACAGGAGCCTTTCTGCAAATCGATTTGCTATCTTCTAATTCCTTAGCATCTTAGTCCCAGATTATCACAGTAGTGGGTACAGTCAAAAGAAAGGGGGGAATCTGTGCCTTCTTGTTTTGTGTGCCCATGAGTTGTAGTATTGGAGATGTGTATGGTTTTGTTGTTGTTGTTTGTTTTGGTTTTTTGAGACGGGGTCTCCTTTGTAATTCATGCTGGCCCTGAACTCACTATGTAGCTCAGGCTGGCCTCAAACTTGAGGTGCTACTCCTGTCTCAGTACTCCGAATACTGGGATTACAGGAGTGCGCCACCATGTCTGGCTTGGGGATGTGTATGTGTTTTGATGGATCCAAAAAAGCATGAATGGGCTGGGCACGTTCCTCCAGCTAAGAAAAGAATGCTTATAATGTAGATCATCCAACCATATCCTCTATATTGTAAATCTAGACTGTTGGAACAAGGGGACTCTTTCATATTTACATTTTTTTTTTGAGGCAGGGTCTCACTTTGTAGTCCAGGCTGGCCTTGAACTCGCTGCTTAGTCCAGGCTGGCCTCAAACTTGCAGCAATCCTCCTGCCTCAGCCTCCTGAGTGCTGGGCTTACAAGTGTGTGCCACCATGCTTGACTCACATTTCTGTTTTTATTTTTGGATATGCATCGGTATCCCATGAACTCTGGCTGGGGCTGGGAAAAACTCACTTGCGAAGTGGTAGATCCTAGGTAAACTGAGTCATTGGCCCCTGTTCTCCTTGTGATATATCCACTTTGTGTTACAATGGACTGTTGTGCTGATGGATGCCCCTGCTCGCCACGTCTTGGGGGTGGGCTCACATTCTGCTGTCAGAAGAACAGTAGGGGGTGTGGGGGCTGGGAGAGCCCTATATGCAAAGCCAGGAACACTATGAAATGAATTGTCATTCCTAAATTGTTTTCCTCAAGCCCAGGTTGTTGTTGCTTGTGGTTGTGAGAGTGCGGGGGTTGGGGTTCAGGCATCTTCTTATTCTGACTCTGAGGGGAGTATGGGGAAGTGGAAGGGGGAAGGGGTGGGGAGCAGATGTAGGAAAGCATGGTGGTCCGTGTCGTGTGCCCCCCCCTTTGTGTACGAAGGGTCCTCTTCTGTCTCTGGGGAAGGGAGGGGAATAAGGCTCCCTACAATCACTGACCACTACCCCCTCCCTCCCTCCCACCACAGCCTGAACTCTCTGCTTCCTGAATCTGGGATTGTTGCTGACATCGAATTAGAAAACATCCTTGATCCTGACAGTTTCTACGAGCTCAAAAGCCAACCCCTACCAACTGCCCACTCCCCTCCCTCCCTCCCACCACAGCCTGAACTCTCTGCTTCCTGAATCTGGGATTGTTGCTGACATCGAATTAGAAAACATCCTTGATCCTGACAGTTTCTACGAGCTCAAAAGCCAACCCCTACCCCTACGCTCCAGGTATGACTAGCCCATCTGACACCCCGCCCATTCTCAGCTCCTCCTCCCTGATCCACAGAGGCTGCCAGGGCCTGCCCAACCCATTCTCTCAGCAGCCGGTATCTCCTAGATGTTACAATGAGGGGACAAAAAGAGCAAGTCGCACAGGCAGGCAGGGGCCAAGCTCTGTGGTCCCCAGCCAGACTTCCCTGCCTCGCCCCTCCGGCATACTCTGGCTGCACAGTTCTTTCTGGAGGGCGGACCTGCTTAGACTCCTGCCCTTGGGTGGGTGGAGCTATGCCCACAGCCCCTGCCAAGCTCCTCTCTCAGGCTGGGAGCCCACCCGCTCTCAGCCTTTGGGGAACCCTTTCTGGTCTTTTCCTCCCCCTAGCTTGGGAGTCTGAATGTGCTGAGTCATCGGCCTGGGCTCTAGAGAGGGGAGGGGACCTGGAAGAGGGGCAGGAAGAGAGGATTGTGAAATCTCTGTGATTTTCAAGACTGCCTGGCTCCTGGGACCAGAGGCCCAGACAGGGAGGGAGGGGGCCCATGGCTGCCTTTCTGGCCCGATCCTCACCCAAGAGAGGTGAGAGTGGATCTCGCCTCAAGTTGGACTCAGTTCTGCTTTGGCTCACTTTTAACTAGGATGAACCCCTCTTGCAGAGCCATCAATGGCATCTCCGCTTCTTAATGCGAACAGGTTCAAACCTGCACCTCTGCATTAGGACTGAGGGCTTGTGTTCTCCCACCAGACTGCGACCTCTGAGTACTAAGCGTGGGTCTGATCGCCGTGATCTCCCATCACACTGAGACCCCGGAGGGCTGCAACCAGGCCTGGTTCCTGTGTCTCCCCACCGTACTGTGGCCTCTGAAGGCAGAGAACAGGCCTGGCTCCTGTGTCTGCTCCAGCACGCTGTGCCCCTTAGGCTTGGAAAGAGACTTCTAGCTTACCTGTGGCCCCATATTTCCCATTCCACAGCCTCCCAATATCACTGCAGGCCACAGCAGCCCCAGCTACACTCTCTGCATCGTCTTCTGCAGGGGGCTCCAGGACCCCTGCCATGTCGTCATCATCCTCATCGAGGGTCTTGCTGCGGCAACAGCTCATGCGGGCCCAGGCACAAGAGCAGGAGAGGCGTGAGCGTCGGGAACAGGCCGCAGCCACTCCCTTCCCCAGTCCCGCACCTGCCTCTCCCGCCATCTCTGTGGTTGGCGTCGCTGCTGGGGGCCAC